TATTTTTTATATAAAAATATTATTTATATTGTTTTTTTATACATTAAAAATATATATAAATTAAGACATTCAGGAATATATGTAATTAAATAAATTCAGAATTTTATGTATTAATAAATGAGAAAAAAATCATTAACAATAACTAAAATTAAAATTTAAAAAATCAAGAAAAATAAATAAATCAATACAGTTAATATTACAAGATGAGTTATTTACTCGATTATACTTGTTAAATTTATTTAATTAAATGATAATAAAAATAGACACATGCATTAAACTGATTAAATAAAATAAAAAACAAAAATATTATGCAATGATACACATATTAGAAATATTATCTGAAATAAATATTTTTTATTTTAAAATATAAAATTTATCTATATGAAATTTTTTTAAAAGCATTATAGATTAATTAGAATATTCTTTTCAAAAACTAAATACACGCAACATTATTAAAAAAATCTCCATTCAAAAAAGGTTAAATAAGAAAACTAATCACAAATAAGGGTTATTAATTCAATCATAAATTTAAAATTTATTTAAGAAGAAAAACATTCAAAGAAGATGTCAATTAGAATAAAAAAAAATATTATGACTTAACTCATCAAATATATATTTCGGGTCATGGAATCAATCTAGTTCAATAATTATTTACCTTAAATTTATATTTACTCCTTAAAAAAAGTTAGAAAACAGCCCATGTCCCGCGTGGGTGGGCATTCAAGCCCAACCTCGCATGCTTGAGCTTGATTTTATTTTTTTTATTTAAAAAAAAAAATATAAATGATGTATCATTTGTGATCCCAAATTTTGACCATCATAGTTATGGCTGGAAAATTGAGGCAATACCTTTTTTAGTAAAAAGATTCAATTTTAAGTTATTGCAACCTCAAAACACTTCACCAACACTTCTATAATACCCAAAAATCATTTCATCAACTTCAAATACAAAAAAAAAATTCCAAAAATTTAAAATTAAATAAGGTAGTTTTGGTTTTTCCAGCTTAAATCTAAATTTTTATGCAACATTAGGCTTTAAACAACCACTATAAATCCCCTCTCATATCTATGAACTCATGGACACTAATAAAACATATTTTGATGGCTGAAAATAGAGTGAACATTAACTCTCTCTTATTATTAGAATTTGACAACACTTATCTCTCTCATTTTTTTAATCTTAGACTAAAAAATAACACAAATAAAATTGTGTATCAAAATTAATTTTTAAAAATTTCAAGAGACCTGAATTATATGAATGTTGTTGCGATGTCGTGGTCGCACAAATTAATTACCCTAGCTTAAAACACAACACACAAGATAGTATAGAGCAAGCAAGGGGTCGATCCCACAAGGAAGATTTAGTTCAGATTTTTATGCTATACGTTATGCAAATTGGGGGTTTTGATTTGTGATGATCTAAACTATGGAAGAAATTACGCTAGCAAACAAAATCAATTGAAATCGAAATTTATCAAGAAAACAAACCTTGGTTGCAAGCACACATCCACCAATGGAAATTAGAACCGATCCTTGAAACAAAACTACAATTTATATTTTGAATTTTTATCTTTTCTTAATGTTGGTTAATTAACGGATCCGCCGTATAACTAACCCTAACCAACAAACAATCACAATGTCCGCATTAATGATTTAGTTTAATGACAGCCCTAAGAACTAGATATTTGAGTGTTCTCCCTAAGTTTAATAATATAGTTCCGCCACAATTATCAAGCTTAGTTGCTTCACAAGTTCATACATCACAACTCCGGTTTTGATACCAAACTTAGCAATAAATTGTTCACAATAATAACTTAGAGTTCCGCTCTAGCAATTATCAACAACAATCATAGAAAATATGCATAGGAAAACAACCATACTTATTCATAATATAAACTGAAAATAAAAGGAAGAATAAATCTCACGGTTCTTGAAATCTGAAGGTTTGTTGTGTCCTTGCAACAAGAAAAGAGCTTAGCCTTGCATAACCATTGAACAACTACTCTTAAAAAATGAAGAGAGCATGATTTTTTTGGGTTTGTAGAGGAGAGAATTTGTGTTTCTTCACTTCTGGCTGCTACCCCCCTTCTCTCCTCTCTCTCTTTCTTTTTATATGCTAAGAAACCCTAGTTCCTAATTTACAAAGTAGTCCTCCCTTAAGTTGACAATTGACATTTAAGTACTTCAATAACTATTTTCCCTAAAAAAGAGAAATAGCCTTGCATGAAATCTTCAAACTCTGACTTAGAGGAGCTAAATTGCTGATATAAAAACTTGGATGACGGTTTAGAAGCTTCGAAACGTAATTTGGACTCATTTCTTCACGAAACTTGATTGTTGGCAGAATTTAGTTGTCATCTTTGAAAACTCATATCTCCCTCATCTGACATCGTTTTTGGATGAAATTTGTAGCGTTTATAGAACTTTGAGTCAGGAATCCAACACAATTGAGTTTGCATAAATTGGACTTCTATAGCTCTAGATATTGAATTTTGAATAGACAAAGGTCAACAGTGGCAGAATGCGAGATTTGACTTTGAAGGATGTGATTTCCATGATCTTCCTCTTTTTATTTTTCTTGCATTACATTTCCAAAAAGGTATGGATGTTAGCTTTTTAGTGCCACTGGAATCACTTCATTTCGATCTCTAGAACTCACGCTCTGCACAAAACATTGACTGAATGTTAAATCTGCCAATTATCTCCAATTTACTCCTTTTTGCATTTTTCATCTAAAAGTACCTTCAAAACATAAAACAAAGAATATCAAGGCATTTTACATATAAAACATGGACAAAACATTAGGTAAATATGGGTGAAACTATCGAATAATATGGTTACATCAAATGCCAATTTTTTTAAAGATTAAAAATGTATTTTATTTGAAGTCTCTAGTACGCCACTCATATTTGATGTCTTTTTTCTTTTCATTCTTATTTTTTTAATTTTACTCTTAACTAAGAAATCATAAGTAATTAACATTTAATTAAGATTAAATTATAAAAAATAAAATTTTAAAGATTAAAATGAATTATTATTTAAAAAATAATAAATTCAGAATGTTTTATAAGAACAATATACAATTATAGTAAAAAAAAAAACGCGGTTTTAGAGTTTATAAACCCATCATTTAGACTCGAATTAAAATCTGACAGAATAGGATTTCTGCCTCACCTCTCACAGAACAACTAATTATGACCTCTCTCATATTGTCTAGTCAAGTCTCGTCTAGTTTTTACTCACTAAAGCCATGCACACCAAAATGTATATTTATATTTAGACACTATAAAAACTCACTTCTGTAATGAAATGCTGCGAAAATTTGACAGCATTCAGGATATCACTAGCTATTTATTTAATGTATTTCTTGTATTTTATTAAAATCTTCAAAGTAATTTTTTTTAAAAATATATATAAGATTATGATTTAAAAAAACTACCCCAAGGTGGTAGTCTAACCGTATATCAACTAGGGGCTTGGGGTTTGCTTCTTCAGAACTCTGGTACTAGAAAAACCTCTCGGAGCCACGGGTCATGGAGAAAGAGCTGTGTAAAGGCTGGTTTTGCACTATGAAAATTTAGTCTGGTATTTAAAAGTTGGCTCACAATAACCTGTGTTTAAAAAAAAATTAGAAAAACAATACTTCTTAAAAAAATGACATGTTTGTGTAATAAATTAGAGAGATACATTCTCTACTCTTTATTTCAAATCAATAGAATTTTTCTAATTTTTATTTTTATTTTCTTTATTCTTTATCTGATAAATTACTATACTGTTATTAGAAAATATATGTTTTTTAAATAAAAAAATTAATATGAAACGATAATTTTGACTAAATAGTAAATATATATCTTTTTCATTAGAATTCAAATCATTATGTTTTTTACAAATATTCATTTTTATTTCGACACAATTAAATAAAAAAATCAAAAAGTGACTACATTATTAGTTCAAATATTTACACTTACATTTATTTTTTGTTTTTTACACAAAAAAAATAAACTCTCTATTTAGTATTTAATTAGCATTAACAGTTGTTTATGTGATTTATTTTTTTATATTTTTTAATTTGTACAAATATCATAATTTTAATTTTCAATTTTGAAATATTATGCCATCAAAACACATGTCCACAGATTCATAGCTTCTTTTTTATATATATACATTAGAACTTAGTTTGGAATGTTACCCGTAATGTAGCGTGATATCCCTAACTAGTTGGTATCTAATTGTCTTGAGCTATTTTTGCCCTCTTTGTATACAAACATGAGTTCGAGTCAACTATCTATGCACGGATTCATTTCGCTGTTAAAAGGCTGGTTGAAGAGCTTCATTTTACCATGTATAAAGATGACCTTTGTCATCTGGAACTGGCATGTTTCTGTTATTATAATACAAGGTCCGTTAATTGGCCCTAAGCTTATTACGGAGAAAGAGTGATGATCTCAGTGATGAGAAATTGAATATAATTTTGTCTGACAGTCCTTCGCTGCAGAAGTTGGTTATCTTGGAGTGTAATGATATGAAATCCGAGAACCTGAATGGGAAGAACGTGAAGAGTTTGTGCTTAGGTTATTTAAAACAGAATGGGTGGAATAGTAAGGATCTGAAGATTTGCGCTCCAAATGTACACTCATTTGTCTCTTTGGGGAGAATTGGACTTTGAGGACTACATGATTGAAGATAGGTCCTGCACTTGCCTGGAGAGAGTAGAGCTTGGTTTTCAGCTTAAGCTAGAAAATCTTGTAGATGATGAAGCTTTTAACAAACTGCTGAGAAGTGCCATTGATCTGAGTCAAGCCAGAGTTCTTTCAGCTTATTAATTTGTGGAAAAGTCACACTTCACATGCCTAGTATGCATTGTGTGTGTTTCTTTTTTAAGAACTGTTGCTGCTTGAATTTCATTTAGAAAATAAGTCAGTTAAATTTTCCTATGAATTTACTCGAGTGTTAATCTCTGAAACATATTTTGATACAGGTAGTGTTTGGGAAAGTGTTGCAGCTCCTATATCGTGGCCTTAAGTTTTTGGAGGCCAAACCTGTGTTGGAGATCACAGGATTTTCAAATACATTTTTTATTATTGAAATCTGGGAACAGAACAGATCCTGGACACAATCCCAAATGTGCCTATAAATCTTTTCAATGGTATGTTAATTTTAATTTGCTCTTACTGATAAATTGTTAATTACAGAGACTACAAATTCATAATCATTGTAGAGAAACTCAAGACAATTGTTTGCATTCCAACTTTCCAATCATAAATGTGTATTATATCAATGTATGGTCTTCATATTTCTTCTTCACTTTGTTCTTTCCTGTTCCATGAGCAAAGATGTTTTCAGTGGGTGAGGCGATTAATATGTAACCTTCCATCTGAATTCGCAAATGTTTGACATTAGAAACTTGGCTAAGAAAATGGGAGCTTCCAGGGACGTTTCACTTGTTGAGGAGCTCACCAGAGCTTGAGCCACCGACTCTTGAAGTGACATCTTCCTCCTATGTTTATGTGAGTGCTTGCAACTTTTCACAGTTTGTCCTTTTCATCCATCTATCTTTCTACCATGTATAACATATATACATGTAATGTAGCAAATTGAATTTTTAGATACATTAAAAGTTCCGGAAGAAGCATCAATTCAAGAAAGGAGACTAGTACTTAGAATCACAAAAGGCCACTTTACGCAGTCTGTCACCCAAGCTGAAGACTATCAGACTACACAGAATTGTTGGCGATAAGAAAAACATAGAATCAAAGTATGCAGGGAGGGACAAAGACTGGCTTCCTAAGAAGTGTCAGAAGAAAATGGAGCTGCTGAGGTTCTTGCTAAAGCATGTTTGAAAATCTATTCCAATTCCCAAGAGCCTCTCCTCATGCCAAATTTAAATTCTTGTAGGAAACTCTGCGATTTGTCATGCTTGATGTATGCTTAAGCTCTTTGTTTAATATTGCCTTCATCTTAAGTTCTTTGTTTAACGTTACCTTAAGCGGCAAAGATGTCAGTCTTTATTTTCATCTATCATGGACAAGATACAATTTTGACACACGGTCTTGTATATCAAGGCCGGTCGGGTTTGTCAGGTCTGACTTGTTATCCAATGGAGTCGATGACATTCTGCCTACCTTACATGCACTTCATGGAACAAGCTAGCTACGAGGCAGAGGAGCCAAAGAGGAATAAAACTTGGCATATCCCACTTTTTAGAGTAGTTTCCTTACAGGATAATACTTTGCAAGTACAATCTTGATTAATAAACAAACCATCAAAGCAAATTGTACTTGGAAAACAAATTTAGTTGTCCCAACTACAATTTGTGTCAATAAATTTTGGTCATGAAAAGGAAAAAGAAAGTAAATAAATAAATAAATAATAGTGTCAAAGTTTTTGACACTTGACTAGTGTTGCGCATCAATTAAAAAAAATGAGAACTGATTTGGCAACCAATTGCATGATTTCTGAACATAATAAGAATTTTAAAAAATAAATCGGAGTTTATCTGATAGAAAATTTAGGATTGCTTGTTTCCCTAGTGAATCCTTGTAAATGAACGCAAACACCAAATTCCCAAGCACGAAGAAGCTCAGGCCAATGAGACAAGTGCTGATGGCAAGCTCCGAGGAAGGTTCTAGAACCGTGTATGTGCCCGTGACGAATGCGATAATCATTGTACCCATGCCAATCATGGTAAACAACGTGGCAACCACAAATAGTATCTCAGTGGTATCCTCATCTATCACTTTATCCTTGACCATTTCAAAACCATGAATCAGCGAAATCAAAAAGTGGACAAAGACAGCTAAAATGGAGAGCACCATTGACATTGCATCTGAGATGATAAATACTATAAAAGCAGCTTTTTTAGCTAGAATCGCAGTGCCTTGGTCGCTCTTGTAACCGCCAGGGAGGGTGAATGCTGCTGCAAATGTTACCGTTGCTATCAGCGCCCCAACTACTAGATGAGACTCTCTTGCTCTACTCAAAGCTTCTTTTTCCCCCTCATTCTGTCCTTTCAAAACCTTGCGGCTGCCAAGCGGTCCACTGCCAACATCTTCAAGGGATTCTAGGATCTCTTTCTGCAAAATATTTAGGTTAAAATATCGTACCAATCCATCATTAATTTTTAGGTATTTAACAAATATCATTTATTAGCAGGTAAAAAAAAACTAATTTGGTTGAAATTAAACCGCATGCTTTATATTAGCCCAATTATCTCCAAAAAGAAAACTAAGATGTGGACTTAAATTTTATATACCATCAATTCTACATCATTTCATTCTAAAAATTAATTTCCTAGCTAGGATGGTAAACCAATATATAATTGTTTATTGTTACTCTCCTTAATTGCTTGTAAGATTATGTCAAGTTTCTACTAGATTTTTCAACTTTATTTTTCAGATTATTTAAATTTAATTTATTGTATTTTTTCCTTCATTTGTACTACTTTCCATTTATTTATTGAATAATATATGTTTTTTTAAACAGTTACATGCGATTCATATGCATAATCTGTTATTGTAGATGAAAAACTTAACAAAATCAATAAAACGAGTTCATTCCAAATAAAAAAGATTATTAAATTATTCAAAGATTTTTTTATTTTTAGTTTTGCAGTACATGTTATTTTTAAAAGTAATTTTTTAAAAAATATATTAAAATATTTTTTATTTTTTTTTATTTTTTACACTAACTTATTAAAACTATAAAAAATTAAAAAATATTAATTTAATTTTTTAAATAAAATACATTTTTAAAACAAAACTAAAAATAGAAGATGCAATAGTTATGTGGACCCGGATATGGTTAAGATGCGGAGCTAAAAGAATCGGTGGTCATTCCTCACCTCGTTAAAAAAAAAAAAAAAAAACCCTTTCAACTTCAGTGATCAAATCTCATCATTAACAATATCAATAAAATGAATTGATTTCAAATAAAAAAAAAAAAGAGATATTCAGAACCCAAATTGAGAAATCAAGAAATTGAATCCATATATATATATATATATATTTTCTTGCATATAATTATCAGATTGTTGTGGATGGACCCGGCATTACTTTCAGTGACCATTTGGAACTTCGTTTTCTTCCCATGTCAAGTATTTGGTGGCTAAATCACATTCAATTATCAATTAATTTCAGGAAAAATTATCATACTTTAACTTTTTTATTTCTTTTTTCAATTTCAAAACTAGTAGATACAGACATTTACAAAATAGCAGCAGCTTTACTGTATTTAGCAAAACTACTAAGGGCATGTCTCATTGATCAAGACCAATTAGATTTAGAAACAGAGTATCAGTACCACATCTTTAGCAATAACAAATACAAGCCCCGTCTAAGGAGGTATTTTTTTTCTTTCTCCTACACACTGGATTCAGAATGATGGGACAATCCCATATGCTGTTTCTGCCATTAGTGTTGACGAGAACATCTGGTCCACTTCGACATCTACATCTGTTCTCTTTGCAAATCGACCTTTTATCCGGGGTCTGGTCTCTGCATAGGCCTTCCTTGAGGCATACCTGATAGTCTTCTCAAACTTCCTCGCCTTCTTTTTCTCTCTGTATCTTAGGACTCTTGCCTCCCTTTCCATCGGACTAAGTTGAGATGGCATCTGGATAGGAGGGCTGGAGAAAAGGTCGATTGTCCCTCTTGGAGCACTTTGGTGCGAGATTGAGATCTCGCTCATTGCTGATTCTGGCACCACCCCAACATCCATGGATGACATGGAGACCTAATTAAATGAGTAAAGAAAAGCAAATGTTTAGAACCATATGAAAATTTCACCAAGTTGTCGGGAACTAATTGGATTATCACTATCTGTAACATATATTTTTCTGTTGCCTATAAGATCATACTCACTATGTTATTAATGGATTACTTGGAAGTTAATGATGTCAATCCTAAATCAATCACTTGGAAGAAAAGGGGATGAAAAACAAAAGTGCTCAAACACTTGTACCCTCAGATTCCATCCATTAAAGGAGAAATATAAAGGTAAAAGGAATAGAGAGCTCTTAAAGTGCAGAGAGATATCCCCTTCGGATTTTTACCAGTACAAGCAGTGTGAGTGGTAGAATATGATACTTCTAAGCTCTTTAATCTTGACACACAAACGATTCTAATATCCAGTCTACAACTAGCTTTATGAAGATACCTAAGTGATACTAAAAGGAGTACGCAGACTGGTTCAGCTAGTTTAGCAACTTAATTGTCAACAAAGATAGAAAATAATTTAACATATGTATAAAGCTGCCGATAGTAAAAATGAGATTAAATTTTGAGAACACTTCGTTGAAATAGGTTGTGGACTAAAGATATTTCCCAATGATCTTAACATGAACTTAATAGAGCTCAAAACTGTTCAAGAGAAGATACTATGATAAAATTTCTGAGAGTATTAGAACTTTTGGTAAATCCTACAGTGAGTTGTACTTACACCTTGACTGATTGAACCGTCGTAGCTATAAGCAGCTTTAGCGGGCTCATACTCCAATCCCAACTGAAAATTGTGATACTGTTGTTGCTGTTGTTGTTGATGATCCTTTCCTTCTCCATACTGAATCGGCACAACACTGTCACCCCCACAACTCTTTGGAGGAACACTGTAGTGTTGCTGATTATACTGATCAGAATATTGATTCTCAGCACATGAGTTGTACTCAACAATATCCAAATACTCATCAACCTCCCCACTAAACACGAAGCCATTATTATTCTGGTTGTTGCTGTTCTTCGCAGGATTTAGCAACAGCCATGAAGCAGCCTCATCCTCATCCTCCTCACCAATAGTCTCCTCTCCCTCTTGTGTCATGAACTGATCTTCAGTCTCACCAGCTGCAGGCCCTACTTGGGTACCGTAAGGGCAGCCGGAAATGGGCAGAATTGGGACTCGTTGGTGGCGGCGTGCTAGTGGGTTTGCAGAGTGAATATCAGCATCACAGGCAGTACACAGAGATGCCGCATCTGCTTTGCACAACAAGGCAGCCGGGGAGCGCTCACACGCCTCGCACACCCGCACGCGCTCATGGCGCGATGCGACACGATTTGCAGCATGCACACGGGCATCACAACCGGCACATAGGTATGCCGAATCAGCCCGGCAGTAAACAGTGCAAGCTGCTGCACGGCACGTGTCACATACGCGTGCCCAATTGTTAACGACGACGCCGCCGCTGCCGCTGCCGCCGCTCTCTTCCTTCAGCATCACTTCCTCTCTTTTTCTCCCAATACCAATCTCAATTATACTGTCTTTAGCTGTGTATGAGAGTGAGTGAGCATTAGGTGCAAGGATGAGGGATACCTGTAGGAAAAACACAAGAGGGGAGGAGAGTATCAAGGACGTGACACGTGGCATAAATTAAGTGGCTGAGAAGTTGTTTCATTATCTTGTGGCTGTTTGAGTGTCGGAGTGGGTCCCAGTTAAGAGAGAGTTACTGCATGGTTTTCTGCTATGGCTCTTAGTAAGAACCGTTTTGGGGTTTGGAGTACATTGCTGGGAATAGAGAAAGATTGCAATACTCGCTTGCTTATGAAGACACTTGTCAGAGTCAAGTCGTTGTTGGTCCACTCTGTAATGGGTAAGATTCTGCGAATACACGTGTCAGTCAGTGAGTATTAGTTTTCATGGTTTTTTGGAAGTTGTAACATGTGAATAACACGTGGAGTGTAATGGGTTCAACATTTGGTGGGGTTTTCAGCTTTCTTGAGATGCAAATTTTGACGTTGTAACGTTGAAGTTTTGAGCTGATAACTAAGGAATGTTTTATAGTATTTTTTAAAATATTTTTTATTTAAAATAATATATTTTTTAAAATACTTTCTTATATTAATATATTAAAATGATATAAAAACATTAAAAAATATTAATTTGAAGTAAACAAATTTAAAAATTAATTTTTTAAAAAATATTTTTGAAACTTAAAAACAAACATATCAAAATTTATGCTAAGCAATACCCCGCAGGCTAAATAAAATCTTTTTTAATATAAAGAATATTTTAAAAGAATTAATACTCAAGTGATTGGTTTAATTTTTCATTTAAATAACATGATTAAAATAATACAACAATGATAATATAAATTGCAAAAAAAATAAAAAATAAAAAATAAATTAATTTGAGTCAACTTGAATTGTGAAATAATTTAATGATAAAGGATAAAATTAAAAAATATATATAAAAAAACTCAGTCATACGAAGTTAACACGCAAACTTTGTTATAATGAACATAATATTAAGATAA